GGCTGCTCTGGCCCCTGTTGCAGTCCCTGTCAGTGGGGTTCCCACAGACAGGGGCTACTCCAGATGACAGCAACTCCTGTCTACACTGGCCGCTTGATTTTGCACAAAAGCACTGACATTCTACTGTCCAAAATCAGTGCTTCTTGCGCAAATGCTTTGACGTTCCCATTCGGGCAAAAGCCCTTTTCCGGAAATGCTTTTGCGCAAAAGGGCCAGTATAGACAGCTGAAAACTGTTTTGTGCAAAAAAGCCCCGATGGTGAAAATGGCGATCGGGGCTTTCTTGCTCAAAACCGTGTCTAGATTGGCATGGACGCTTTTCCGCAAAAACTGGTTTTGCACAAAAACATCCGTGCCAATCTAGACGTTATTTTCCACAAATGCTTTTTCCGTTAAAAGCATTTGCGGAAAACCATGCCAGTCTAGACGCAGCCTTATTTAGTTACAACATCTCCCGTACCAAGAAGCTTTACAGAGCTGACTGATGAGTCACACCTGTGCTAGGTAACAGTCAGTGAATTTAGCCCGTAATTAAAATCCAAAGTTATTACCCATTACACTGAGCAACAGTTCCCTACCTTGTACTGCTGGACAGCTTCCTGTATGGGAACCACCGTGTGAGCGTGGTGAGCCTGGGATCTGTCACACACCACACAGATGGGGGTTTGATCCTCCTTACAGAACAGCTTCAGCACCTCCTGGTGCTCCCCGCATACTCCGCCCCCTCCTACATCCTTTGCTGCCTGCAAACTCAGTCGCTTGGCTATTTCCACCACGTTTACCAATAGCCTGTTGGGCCGGAGGGGTCCCTGCTGCACAGGATCTCCGCACTGCGGGCAGGAGGCAGCTGGGCCGGGCCCCTCCCAGCACCGGCTGAGGCAGGCCCGGCAGAAATTGTGCCCGCAGTCTGTGATCACCGGGTCCTTAAAATACTGCAGACAGAGGGGACACGTTGCTTCTTCCCGGAGACTTTCCACTGGGCTCTCTGAGGCCATGGCTGCCTCCGAGCTGGAGAACGGGGTCACTTCCGATTTCCTGAGCTCAGGCTCTGCCCTGTCTCCAGCAACACCTAGCTGTTCCCTTTCCTGGAGCTGACTCAGGCAGTTTGCTGGATTGGAAAAAAGACAACAGGAGATATTTCAGCCATGGAAGCTTTGGTGAAAAAAAAAAAGGTCCCATGCTCTGGCCATGGCATTGGCCCATGGGCTGGCGTGAAGGATCCTTGGAGCATCACATGGACCCGGAATCCACCCGGCAGTACTGGTCAGCTTCCAGAACTGTGTGTGGCCTGGGAGCGAGATTGAGGCTTGGGCAGAATTCATTGTGTTTAATGTCTAATTAAAGTTGACAGATAAAATTAGCATTTGAGTATTTTATATGCATCTAGTTACAGACGCACAGAGGGGGAGAGTCAGGCAAAATTTGGATCAGACAATAATTATTCAATGACAGTAGACACTGAGATTTAGCGCTCATAAGTTCTCAAACAGCCTCGTTCTTTCTGTGTGTATATAAGTAAAACTTCCAATTATGATGAATGGAAATATTTTTTCTTTGATTTCTGAGTATACAGGGAAATCGAGGTTCACTAGCATCTAATGATAAAAGCCTGCTCCCTCCAAGTCCAGGGATATTAAATTCACAGGCCAAAAACTTATTTCAGCTGGAACTGATAATCCAAAAGCCTGCCTCCGACACGCACCAAGGCTGCTCTGGCTTTTTGGAGATCGGTGTCAAAAACATTGCCAATATTAACGACTTTATGCATCTCATGAACATAGGAATGGCCAGGTCAGACCAAAGGTCTATCTAGCCCAGTGGCCAATGCCAGGTGTCCCAGAGGGAATTAATACAACAGGGAATCATCAAATGATCCATCCCGTTGTCAATTCCCAGGTTCTGGCAGAGGCCAGGGACACTTTAGTTCTCAGTTTTGCGTATTTCAGGTGTTTGTCAAAGCACCCCTGTGATGAAGTGGGGAATTGTGTTTGTGTGTGGGGGGGGGGAGGGGGGGAATGGTTACCTGCCAGGGCAATGACCTGGTGCCTCCCCATGCTCATGCAGCATTGGTCTGATAATCAGAGGTGATAAGTTCTACAGGCCCCTGGTGTCCAGGCTCCAAGAACACTCCTGGCTTGGGGCCTGGCTCCAGCGAAGTTCAGGGCTGGGCCTCTCCAACCCGCTGCACCCCTCACAACTCCACCTGCCACCCCCAGGTGATTTTAAATGGCCCAGGGACTTCTGCCACCACCAGCAGCAGCGCAGCAGGGTTAGAGCAGCTTCCTGCCTGCTCTCTCAGTGCGCAGCTGCTGGCACATCCCTGCAGCCCCATGGAGGGAGGGGAGGGGGTCTTCTTGCACAGCCCCCAGCCCGAGGGGCTAATGGGAGCAGCAGAGATTGT